TTTGAGTACCCACATCAATTTTTCATATATTTATATAAATACTATATATATGTATATATATGAAAAATATATCAAAAATGCATGTGGGTACTCAAATGAAAGCTCTTGATGAGTGTAATATCGGGATGAGTTTATATCTTCAAAAACATCAATCGTTAAGAAAGTACAGTGCAATTTAACAAAAGTCATTATTTAATCAAGCAAAATTTTATTTATTTATAGTTTATAAGTCACGACAGTCACATCGTGACTGTAAGGTTGCTAGTTGTTATAATTTTAATAGCTATTAATTTGATATAACAAAGGAACGTAAAAAAACTAATCTCAATTCTTGATATTTTTCAGTGGTATCCGAAGAATTAGGCGCTCATGTTATTGAATTACCGTACAAAGGAGATGAAATATCAATGTACATTTTCTTACCTCCCTTTGTTACGACGAAGGCCCGTCGTGGGTTTAGACAAGTGCCTGCAGCAGGGAAGACCGTCGGAGTTAACAGAGACGGAATTCAACAACTGATTGAAAGAATGACTAGCACTGAGCGTGGTGTTGAGGAGCTGTACGATATTCTGGACCGTGGAATGCTGGAGCGCGAAGTTGAACTGTCATTGCCGCGGTTCACTGTCGAAAAAGAATTACCTGTCTCATCGTTATTTGGTGCTCTGGGTGCTGGAGAACTTTTGGAGCCTGGCAAGGCTGATCTTCGGGGCTTCCTGGAGAATTCCAGTGATAATTTGCATCTTGGCGATGCGGTTCATCGTGCCAAAATTGAAGTTAATGAAGAGGGAACCACTGCTGCAGGTGCGACTGCCATCTTCACTTTCCGCTCCAGCAGGCCAACAGAACCTGCTGTTTTTAATGCGAATCATCCATTTGTTTACCTCATCTACGAGAAGCCTAGTCAGTCTATCATCTTCGCTGGTGTGTTCCGCACACCTACGTCGCCTGCTGAAACAAATTAAATTAATTAGTTGATAATATTTTACTGACTTTTAGGGTTTAAATTAAAAGTAACATTACTTTACAGTTGGTATCTTGCAAACATTTTTAGATGGCGCTCTCTACTTTTGATGATACAAGGATTCTAAAATAAAATGTCAGAACCGTCATACATCTTTATTAATAACTTAAAAAGGATTAAAGAACTAATTAAAAAAAAATATATTAAGGTACTCTAGCCGGAATGTAAATTTTAAAATAATTTACTTGCAGCAATTATTTATTATAATTGAAATAAAAGTACGTAAAGAAATTTTGAAGTGAAGATGATGATTCAAAATGGTGGAATCATAACCAAAAATTTACAGATTGCAATTAAGGGGGGAAGTCCATGTAAAAGCCTCAAAATCGGTCATTTTTTTAAATATTTTTAAAGGTGATATAAAAAGTTAAAGTGTTTTCTTTTTAGAACATATTTACGGAAAGGATAAGCCTTTAAAATTAAAAAAAAAAAAGTATAAAATTCAATATAAAATAATCCTTTGAAATAAAGTCAGAATTTGGTATTTTTTTGAAATTTTTGACCTCAAAAAAATGTTTTATCAACGTTAAATATCTGAAATTTTAGGTTTATCCTTTTGATAGTAATATAAAGAAAGACCTCACCAAATTTTAAACAAATCATGAAAATTAAGTTAGCCGACATGTAAAAATTTTTAGAATTTTTTTTTATTGAAAAAATTATTACAAAAAAAAAAATTTCAGTTGTAAAAAACTTGAAAAACTGTAAGTGCAATTTTTAAAAAATATTTTTTTGTTCTAATTTAATTATTAAAAAAAATCAAAAAACTAAAAACGTCGGCTAACTTTAGTATTACAACAAATCGATCAATAACTTTTTGAGTTACAACACGAGCAGCTTTTAAAAATACAGTTTCGAGATAATCGCATTTAAATTTATAGTACCCACTATAATACTCCGGGCCCGCTCCATTATATTAGCTATATCTAACATACTATATATTTTCAGATTAACGAAAAAAAAAAAATTGATTTTTTGAAAATTTTACATGGACTTTATCCTTAAAATAGTTTCCAATATTTTACCTTAAATTAGTGCTTTAATCCGTGATTTAAATATTGTAGTACAGCTGTGATATTTTAATATTCAAAAAGTAGAGAGTATTATCTAACACTACCGATAAAAAATCTAAATGAATAAATTTAAAATTAAAGCTAGTAAGAACAAAATAATTTTTGAAGTTTCTTATTATTTATTTTTTATAAAAAAAATTATTTTTTAAATCAAATGCTTATTTAATTTTTACTTGATATATTATATTTTGTATAAATATAGGTTTATTAATTAATTTTGGTGTACAACGCATAAAACGGCAAAGTTGTTTGTAGACTATTTTTAAGGCATCACTTAATAATAATAATAAAAATATTTATTTTTTAATATTGAAAACGAAATTTTTGTAATTTTACTATTTAAAAATTCCGAAATTTTTTTATTTTACCAACTATAAATCCGACTAGTTTTATTTTAGGTAAAAACTTACCTAAGGATTTTCAAAAGAATCCTGGATTGTTTACACGGGTTGTATTTCATCTATATATGTGGATGGATGGATGGATAAATATATATATTTACATCTGGGGGATAGCGGCATTCGAATAGGCATCGACTTATATTAGGGTCACGTGGGTCCATCCGATGGAATTTATGTTGTCTGGACCAATCAGTTTTAACTAGAACGCAAAGAGATTACCTATGCAGGTGTAAGGATGTTTCAAGTGTTATATACATTTATAAATGTATATATATTAAAGGTGAGATGAAAAGAAAAGATAAAAATATATAAAGTTATGATGGACTTTAATTTTATAACTGTATGAAGTACTTACATATTTAATTATAGCTTTTTTCTAAATATTTTTTCACCACATTTAAATATTTAAGTCCTTCGTGATTTACTAATTAAATACTTTTTATCCTAGGTCTAATTAGCTTCATAATTATTTTTTACTGTCAGTTTTTCAATTTATTAATTAATGGATTCAATTTTAACTTTGATAACTTGATAATTAATTATTTTTTATTGCAAATATAAATATAATTTTTTTTTATAAATTATTAACTAAAAATTTTTTACTGCAACTTTTTATATAGTTAGTATTAATTTTAATAATTTACATTTATATCAGATTTAAATCTTTAATTTTTTTTTATTAGTTATTAAATTAAATTGTAATTATAATTTTTTATTGAAATTTAAAATGGAAATTTTTTTAATTATTTTAGTAATGCATTATAATTTTATAAAAACTTACCTGTCAGATAGTGTTATATTAATAGAGGTTTGCTGAATTGATATATGACGTATTTCTTCTTTTTTTTTAGAAGTATACTCATAAGTAAGCCTTTGTATTTACATTGGATCCATAGATCAATCTGATCAATAGAAAATAAATTTTTTATACCCTACTTTCTTCATTTTGATTTACAGGCATATGATTTTCCTTTAATGAAATATTATTTAATTTTTTCCTTAAGGAAGTCCTTTCGCTCCAGTTGAGTCACAACAACTGTAGTAGTCAATATTCGATAAATTAAAATAAAAAACCCATAAAAATTCCTAAAATTAAAAAATAAATAGTATATGAGGCATTAATCGTTGAAATTTTGAAAATTAAAAAAAAAACTAGTTAAATACAAAAATTAATTTGACTCTTGTAAATCAGCTGTTAGTAACCAGTCCGTGATTTGGTAACGCTTTATTTCGGTTGTTTAAATTTTTATTTGCACAATATAACCTTAACCATGCTTAACTTTTGCAGTCAATGTAAATAAATAAATTAATTAAAAATGTTTAGTCACAAAATCATAACATTCTAATATCTCATGGCAGGAATGCTATAGTATTTTTCAATTATTGTTTTATTTTTTCAATTATGAATTATGAAAATTTGTTAACAATAAATTAACTAATAGTATGTATGAAAAACATAAGCGCGTTAAAGTTTAGTTTGAATTTATTGAATGGTCTGAAGCTCGCGCGCTCACAACGGTTGCCAAATATTTTGACTCCATATTAATGTAGGTTACTTGAGAATTTTTTGTGATTTTTAAAAATTAATTTCTCAATAAATATCTCGGTAACTGATATATTTTATTGCAAAAAAAGAAACCTGAATATGTCAAAAATCTAATTTTTAGTTTTTTTTTACTTCATCTAATCCATAACTGATAGTATAATTTGAGAAATACTGCAAACGTCTGACTTTCTCGCAAGATTCTGAACAAATACTAACATTTAAAAATTTTATTTTTTCAAAAATTTGTCAGGTAAAGTATAATTTAAACCTCACTAATAGATAAA